CCCAGGTATCTTCTGCCTTCTTGAGGGGGTCAGGACTGTGTACAAGTGCTCCTGTGAGCCCAACCTGGCCTGTCACTGAGGTCAAGAACCTAACTGAAGTCTGTACTCTCTGCCACTGCAAGGCCCAGCCTCAGCCTTTGAGAGGCTCCCATACCTCCTCACAGCTTTCTCCCTGGGCTATACCAGCACCCCAAACCTCACTCACACACACATACAGACACACACACACACATCAACACTACCATGGCTGACATTCGGGTGGTGTTCACCATACATCTGACTGCTTATTACAGTATTGATCTAGGTCTATAATTGATGACAACAGGTGCTCCCCAAGCCCTGGAGTGTCCCCCTGCTCCCTGACCACCCACAGCAAGAGGACTTCCAGACCTTGCTCTGCTCTCTTGGTCAATACCCACTGACTGGTTGTTAAATGTGTTGACACTGGACACACGCACACAGGCCTCACAGGGACATGCAGCTTTCAGGAATCCACCGGAGACAGAGATCCCAGCCTGTGGGACATGTCAGGTACCCCCACTCTCCTGGCCAAAGCTTATAGGAGGAGCCTCTGGTAGAGGTGGGGGTGGTGGAAGAAGGGTGGAAAGTGGCTTGGTCAGGCAGGAATAGCATCACACAGACCCTGATTCCTGCTCTAGGGTAGGCAGCAAGAGCAGGAAAAGCTCAGTGGAAAAATCCACACTGCGAGGAGAGTGGGGGCAAGGAAGATGGGACCCATCAATCCCTGGACCGCTAAAACGGGAACCTAGGCAGGAATTAATGACAGGTCTGCAGGGGCAGGGGCCAGGAGGCCATCTGTAAGGTCCTTCTACTGCTGGTAACACACTCGTTTCCCACCTGCATAGGGATGGTAAAGGATGAAGTTTGGCTGTGACAGACCAAAAAGCCAAAATAACAGTGGTTTCAACAGAGAGAAGTTTTCTCTCATACACAGATCTACGTAGTATGCTGATTTCATGTTGCTTGTATACTGTTACTCTGCCGTCCATATCAGTTCCCACCCCAATGTCCAAATAGCTCCTTCAATTCTAGTCGTCATGTCTAGACACAGGCCGGAGAGTTGGGGAAGGGCACTCTGTGCCTCCGACAATGCTTTCCATAAGATGCACACTGGGGACTTCCCTGGTGGTCCAGTGGTTAAGACTCCACACTTCCAAAGCAGGCAGAGCAGGTTTGACCCCTAGTTGGCAAAATAAGATCCTGTCAAGTGGCGCAGCCAAAAGATTATTAAAAAAAGAAAAAAAAAGCGCACACTGTCTACAACCCACTGGGTAAAGTGTACCCTCTTGGCCATACTAGTGCAAAAAGACTGGGAAATACTATTTTCTCTGGTTGGCCATGTGCTAAGCTGAAAATTAGTTCCCTCAGTGTAGGAAGAGAGTGGATACTGTAAGTCTCTACCCTAAGTGACATGTAAGTCCCTACCCTAAGTGGGAAGCCCCTCTTACACCCAGGCAGTGGATCTCAGCCAAGCTTCTCCCTAGTGACCCTCTCCTCCCCAGGTATCCACTCACAGGATGAGGAATCAGAGGTTAAGCCGTGTGCCAGGACGCCACCCAGAAAGACTTAACTCCCCACTCTACGGGTGTGGAAACTGTGGGCTCGTCTCCGGGGACCACGCTGCAACCCAAGTGTGTACCCCTAAAGGCCTGTTTGCAGCACATGACCCTGCTGCCCTGGCCAGATGACTCTTCTCCAGATTTTTTAAGTCAGAAATCAGGGAACAGAGGCAGTTCCTCTCTGGTAGCGAAGTTGTAAAATATGCCAAGTGGGGACTGCTGGCAGCTGTGTTTCCTACTTTGTGGGAGAAGCAGGACTGAATGAATGATGCTGACATCCAGAGAGATACAGACAGGGATTCCAGGCAGCATTTGTATTCCTGAAGTCCAACTGCCCTTGAATTTTCCAAAGTTACACGAAATAACATCCTACCAACAAATTTTCTATTTCGACAATCTCTTTGGAAGAGGTTTCTGGTATTTTCAACTAGGGCTTCCCTGGTGGCTCAGTCAAGAATCTCCCCGCCAATGCCAGAGACCCATGTTCGAGCCTGGGTCGGGAAGATCCCCTGGAGAAGGAAATGGCAACCCACTTCAGTATTCCCTGATAGCTCAGTTGGAACCCGCCTGCAATGCAGGAGACCCCGGTTAGATTCCTGAGTTGGGAAGATCTGGAGAAGGGAAAGACTACTCATTCTAATATTCTGTCCTAGAGAATTCCATGGACCATACAGTCCATGGGGTCGCAAAGAGTCGGACACGACTGAGTGACTAAACACCAGTTTTCAATTGAAAGAGTCCTGACACCAGAGGAAGAGCTTCTCACAGGGACTCACAGCCTTTAAGCTGTGTCTTGAAGGATGACTAGAAATAACTGATTGAACAACGTACGGGAGAATTCTTCCAGCCCTGTGAGGCTGAACGATGTCCGTGGGATCACAGAGCCGCGTGTTTCCCTGCAGCAGGACTGATCACATCCTAGTGAAATGGGCAAGTAACAAGTACTCGCCCTGGGCAGAGATGCCCTGCAGATGTGCAGCTCTATGTGAGTGGGCCATGTCACTACCCTGCATATCAGCTGGGCAGCTCATCCTCAAAGAATACAAGGGCTATCGGATGCTGTAAATCCCTGTGCTGACGGAGCCTCAGTGGGCAAGTGCAGCAGTGGAAATTTCACTATTAATACGTGTAGTCAACATTCATTCAGTCTCCAAATATTTATTGAGCACCTAATATAAGCCGAACAATGTGCTTCAAATACACTGTTAACAAAACAAAGAAGTTCCTTAATCCAAGGAACTAGTGTTGAAAGGCAAATATTAATCAGATAACCCCACTGATAAATCATCATAGACCATGATAAATGCTGTTTATCATAAAAATAGCCACAAGCTGTGAGAGGACATCCCCTGGGGGCTTGACAGTCTCAGACTGTCAGGAACATCAGTAGGCGAGGTTCTCTGAGGAAGAGAGATTTACATTCTGCAGGATAACAGCAGTTGCCTAGGACGGGGGCAGGCGTAGGGGAAATGTCCCAGAAGAGTGTGTGCGGAGACCCCAGAGCGAGAGAGGGCTCAGAGCACCCGAGGACCTGAACTAGCCCAGAGGGGCTGATGGCAGAGTAAACAGGAGAGCGGGTCAAGATGAAAAGGGTAAGGACCTTGGCCTTTATCCTAAGAAAACGGGGGTCACTGAGATTTTTAAGCACGGGACTGACATGACGAGATCGTGATCATGATCGCTCAGCTGCTCTATGGAGAATGAACGGAGAGGACCAGAGAGGAAGTACACAGACCAACACAGGAGATAAATAGGAAGAAAAGAGAAAATGAGAAGGTGTGAGCAACCCCATGTCAGCGGGGATGAAGATCAGCAGAGATGAAGAACACTGGCTTGGAATCAAGCCGCCTAGTTTGTGTCCTGGCTTTGTCACTTACTCTATGATCCTGAGAAAATCACCTAAGCTCATCTCTAAAACAGGGAGAGTATCTGTCTACTTCCTGGACTGTGTGAGGATTAAATGACTAACGAACTTAGAATGGTATCTGGCACACAGGAACTTGGTGTGGCCCAAGACCACACAGCTACTGCACATAAACAGGTCAACACTGAACTACTCTGGTTACAGTTGGGGGTGGGCCAGTGGGACCCTGAGCCTCGTCCACTTGCGCCCACTTTGTCCTCGGTCCCACCCACATAGCCCTAAATTCCTGGGGTTTCACCGACGCCCTCTCTGCGCCAGATAAGATTGGCCTCAGAGTGGCCTTTAGGAATTTTTCTCCTGGGCACTGTGTGAAAAATGGGGGTAACATCAGCTGACCCATTTGAGAGGCCACTGAAGTATGTAGACCACTCCTGGCTTCCGGACTAGAATCTCAGAAGGCTTCTGTTTCTCATACTTCATCTACCAAAAAGAAAAAAAGGTTTAAACACTCTTCTGGGATTTCCCTGGTGGACTAGTGGTTACAACTCCATGCAGGAGCATGGGTTAGATGCCTGGTCAGGAACTAAGTCCCACATGCTGTATGGCAAGTCAAAAAAAAAAGTTTTAATACTCTTCTGCTTGCTGATGTGTATATAAACTGCTTTATTTTTTAAATAACAAATGAAGGGGGAAAGGACCACGAAACATACAGAAACAACCTCAAAGTAACTTGAAGAAAATGTAGATTTCAGAAGGGGATGGCGCACAACACCACCTCTGAAGGAACTTCTGAGCGGTTTATGGCTGCCCTTACTACCTACCTGCTGCGTTCACTCTGGCCCTCCTCACTGCCCCTCATAAGCCAGGGTTCTGACCTGGTTTCAAGCGGAGACTTAGTCAACTCTGGGTTCTAACCTTCTAGAGATTTGCTTGGGAGCAAGGCAGTCCATATATCAACCACAGGCCCAACTCCAGGAATGAACCAGAGATCTGATGACCTGTGGCTGATCAGGGTCACTGGGAGCTGAGGACAGGGTCATGAACCCACAACCAGTCAGCTGTTTCAGAATTAGGTCACATGAGAGACACTTGGGCTACCTGTTCTGACCCATTCCCGACTGTCCTCACCAGACAAGGGCTCCTGGTGATTCTGGTTTACACAGACAGGTTTATGGGATCATAAGCACAAAAAGGCCTCATGGATCTGAAGACCAAAATGGCCGATAAACTCAGAACTACCTCAGGATACATAAGAGCTCTCACCAGCCCAAAGAAAGCACCCAAAGGTCCAAACAGCTGGGAGGACTTGGTCAGGGGGGCACTCTCCAGGCAAGGTGGGCTCCTGGACAGCACAGATCCACAGAGACAGAACAAGAAGCTGACAGGAGGCTAAAGACTGTACAGACGATACTTGTTCATTGAGAGCAGGTGAGAGAGAAGGAAAAGGCAATGGGCCAGTTGCCCCCAGCAGCTCTGGGGAAGGCGGGTGACTGCTCCAGAGATGGCAGAGCTGGTGGGGCTGTTCTTCACTGCAGCACGGCCTTCTCTGCCTCACCTCAGTCAGCGAGGGCCAAGTTCGTGGACTGCAGTCGCTCCGTCTCCTGGCAGATGTTCTGCTCCACTGTGTCACACTCAGCTAGGAAGGCCTAAAAGGTAAATGCAGACTAGTGAGGGCCACTGGAGGCCAGACAACCCATGCCAACCTTAGCCACAAGAGGTTCTTTGCCAAGCCACTCTGGGGAACCCCTGGGTGACTGACTCAGGCTAAACGGGTGTGTGGGGATGGAGACAGCCCAGGCCCCAGACTCAGGAGAGGGAAGTGACAGCGCTCTCAGTTAACAACCTCCAAAGGGCGCTGAGGAGAGGAAGCCCTGCCACTGAAATGGCAGGATTTCAGGGGACCCTGTCCACAGGAATGGCACCTCCTAGAACTGCGTAACGTGTCAGCCCTGTCTGTTCCCCAGCAAACTTCTTTCCTGATCAGTTTAATCCAAATTCAATTACAGGGGCATGAAAGGAGCTTGTGTTCTGGGTTCATACTGAGAAGTAACAACTGAAGAGAGTCCCCACCACACATGTACTCTACCCTGCTTTGAAGAGATACACGCGCTGACGCATGACACTTTGTGATGCCCTACCACACAACTCACCTGAATCCTTTTCACCAAACCTTTCCTTTTCATTCTACTGTCTTTGAAATTTTCTGGCAGAATCTATGGAAGAATAAGTTGACATATAAATAATCCTAGTAAGTGAACATGACATAGGAACACGTCAGAAACACCCATAGCACATCAAGCAGGCCACAGGTCACCAATGTGGGTGAGGGGCATTTTCTGGAATCACTTCCCTGGATCTCTGTCCTGCACATCCCTTTCCATGGCTCTCACTCCATAAACACTCCTTAGTCCTCGAGGTCTGGACCATAGACCTGTAGCATGGACTCTGTCCTTTCACCGTTTCCTGTGCATGGATACTGTGTCCTGGCTGGGCCACGAGCTCACTGTGGCATGAGAAGCATAGTGCTTTTCTGCTCTTCTTTACCACCCCCTACGCCACCACCCCTCAAGAATCCCAAGCAGAGTAGTTCACCCTAAGAATGAGGTATCGGGCGAGAGATATTATCTTTAAAAGGGAACATGGCATCAATGATTCCTAACAGCCTCCCAAGAGCTGGGTCTGACTGTATTCTATACAGGTAATGGGCCCAGACACAAGAGTGTCAGGAAAGTGACACCCTGTATTTCTCTGACCTTGAGACCATGGATCACTTCGGTCCCTGCTTTGTGAGGATTAGATGCTACTGTATGTGGGTGCTCAGTCATGCCCAACTCTCTGTGTGCAACCCCATGGACTGTAGTCTACCAGGCTCCTCAGTCCACGGGATTTTCCATGTAAGAATACTGGTGTGGCTTGCCATTTCCTACTCCAGGGTATCTTCCCAACTCAGGAAGAGAAAACTTGTCTCCTGCATTGGCAGGCAGATGCTTTATCACTGCGCCCCTGGGACACCCTCTTAGGAGCTACTAGTACACATAAACAAAAATGACAAAAGCCCCATGTCCATGAGATAGGGGAAATCAGGAACTGTCTTATCTTTCTGCATATTCACCAAAGACCTAGCAGTGTCTGGTACACTGCTCAATAGGTGCCCAATACCCTCAGGCAACGAGTGTGATACTGAGAAAGTGAAACTGACTGAAAAGCCATCAAAGGAAACGAGTCCTTCTCGGCTGAGTGTTTACTTACTAGTGTGTCAATCTCCTCCAAGATCTTCATAAACTGCTCGATCGTGGCTTTTACTCTCCTATCGAGTTTGCAGAGAGCTTCAGCTTGCAAATCCTTGGCCAGAAAACCCTGTGGAGGAATGATGCATTATTCCAAGTGTTTCTTTGAGGCTGACAGAAAACTCCAAGCCAGGCACTGATGAAGCAGCTTCACCCTGGGTCCACGTTCCCCAGCAGGCTGGGCCGAACTGCAGGCCCACAGCTCCACTCTTGGAAAAACAGAAGAGCCAGCCCTGGGCCTCCTCAAGCACTGTAATAGGCTGCAGGCCCCTCCATCTCATATGGCCTACGGGGCCACAAATGCCTCCAGAGGCCTGGCTCTGCTGAAGCCCCCAGTCCCCAGTGAATACCTGCACATCAGAGGCAGATGTGAAGAGCACAGGGTTTAGAGTTTGACAGGCCTGGGCTTCAATTCTGACTGCTAGGTACTGGCTGGTGAGCTTGAGCAGGTTCCTTAACCTGTCTGTGCCTTGCTGTCCTCATTTTTTAAATGGAGATCAAGGCATTTCCTTGGCAGTCCAGTAGTTCAGTCCAGAAGATTCCATGTCCAGAAGGCAGTCCAGAAGATTCCATGCTTCTGTGCAGTGGGCACGGGTTCCACCCCCCACTGGGGAATAAGATCCCACATGCTGAGCAGGCTGGCCAGATTAAATAAATAAAATAATATAATGGAAGACTTCCCTGGCAGTCCAATGGTTAAGAATCTGCCTTGGGGAAGGAAAACAAAAAGACTCCACCTTGGGCTTCCCCACTGGCTCAGTGGTAAAGAATCCACCTGCCAATGCAGGAGACACAGGTTTGATCCCTGATCCCAAAAGATCACACATGCCAGGGAGCAACAAAGCCCAGGTGCCACAACTATTGAGACTGTGCTCTAGAGCTCGGGAGCCACAACTGCTGAGCTCACGTGCTGCAACTACTGAAGCCTGCGCTCCCTAGAGCCTGTGCTCTGCAACAGGAGAAGCCCGAGTACCGCAGCTAGAGAGCAGCCTCCACTCGCCCAACTAGAGAAAAGCCCACACGGCAACAAAGACCCAGCACAGACAAAAATAAATACATAAATAACATTGTATATATATAAGAAAAGAATCTGCCTTGCAATGCAACAGACGAGGATTCAATTCCTGGTCAGGGAACTAAGATCCCACGTGCCGCTGGGCAGTGAAGCCCATTTGCTGTAACTACTGAGCCTCTGTACTCCAATTAGAGAGTCCATGCGCCCCAATAATAGATCCCACACGATACAATGAGGATCCTGCATGAGGCAACTAAGACCCAAATAAACAAGCAGCCAAATAAACAAAGGCAAAAAGAAAAAACAAAAAAAATAAAATAAAATGGAGACCATGACACACACATCCCAGAGGGTTACCATGAGAATAAAGGAAAATACAAGACCTTTAATATGAGTCCTGACACAGATATATTGCTAACAGATGGCACCACTTACTTAATTGTTTTATTAAATCATCTGTTTATTCACGTTACTTGGCCTAATGATCAGTTAGCTGGTGACAACAGGTGGACAGCAGGGATCTCTGAGGATGTTTTTATTAAAGTCAAAAGCTACAGATGCAGATTTCGCCACAAGTAATAAAATAAGCTATCAATTCCAACTGAAAGAATTTACTCTACCAAAAAAATGAGAAATGGCCAAAAAAGATTTAAGCCCAAGGACATTCAAAGAAGCATTATGCATAATGTTAAATAGCATTAGGTGATAAATAATAAAGAATTGGTTAGGTAAACCATGATCCACTCATGTGATGCAATATTAACGCGAGTTTTGAAAAGGATGATCTTTTTTTTTCCAGTCAAGACATTTTTTCTTTATTGAAGTATAGTTGATTTACAATACTGTGTTCGTTTCAGGTATACTAAGTATGATCATTTTTAATGACATGGGAAAGTGTTCAATTCCTTAAACCAAAGAAAGAACTATTTACAAAGTATACCTAACATTATACCAATTTTTTTAAGATAAAAAAACAGATTCCAGGTTTTAGTAATGGTTATCTTTGAGTTGGGGGTCTTACAGGTAATTATTATTTTTCATATTGGTGCACACATGTCTTCTTAAAAATTGTGTGCAATCAGTATGCAGTACTTTAGTAATTAAAACACAGTCATACATCCATTAATGTTATAAAATGAAGAGATCAAAAATAAATACGTGGTTTGAGGCCATAACTAATTCTAATTTGGTTTTGGTCCTCCACCTCTAGTACTACAAGGAATTGAATAGGATGACCCCTCGCCAATATCATGCTCAACTTGGACATTCTATGAATCAGTGTTCTTTGCCTTGCCAAATACATTATAACTGCCTAGACTGAAAGAAGCTATTTATTCTATTTAAGACAACACATGATCCTAGCATGGCAGGTGTTCTCGTAGGATCACAAATGGATGCTGGCTGGGGTTTGTAAATAACAATAATGTGCTTACAAAGCACTTAGAATGTCTCAGCCTTAAACTATGTAATTGAATCCTCACAACAGCCCAAGAGGGAATTGCCATCATCACTGCCTTTTTTACAGAAGACTTGAGACAAAGGCAAACTTGCCTTTGCCAGTTACAGAATGGGAAGAGTCAGGGTCTGAACCCAGGGGGGACCAAAAACAAAGTTTGCCCTCATAACCACACATTTGTGTCTCTAGAGAATTCTTAGAGAAGGCAGAAAGTCAAGTCTACCAGAAGAGTTACCTGCTGGATTCCAGCAAGGTCTTTATTCAGTTCTTCCAGCTGGTCAGCTATCTTCTCCACAGATTTCTCCAAATCTTTCAGCTTCTTTAGCTCAGCTTCTTCCTCCGGACTGTTCTAAAATGTTAAGAATAAAAGGAATTCAATAATCACCAAAAATAGTAGCTTCTGTCAGAAAGAAAAAATCTGACCACAAGTGGTCAAACCACTCCCCTAGGAAAACATCATCTTAAACTTGCTGCTTCTTGGAAAGCAAGCTGGAGGGTTATACACTAAGGTTTTCTATCTACAAAGGCACTAGATGAGATAGAGAGAAGGTACCAGGTACATGTTCTGGTGAGAGAGCTGGACGGTTTGGGTTCAGAGAACAAAGCTGATTCATGAGCCAGATCTGACCTTAGCCTGGGGCTGACCACCAACTCACTCCAGACTGAAGCCCGGAGTGTTAACTAATTACAGTGAACGCCTAGCACATGAGTCCAGAAGGTGAGACAGGCGGAATTCTATCCTTTCCTTAGATGGAATTCCTGAGCTCTCTCATTCAATATGACTATGATGACGATGCATACTTTCATTGAGCATCCCTTCTATGCTAGGCATCATCCTAAGCACTCTACCTGTATCATTATTTAAGCCTTACCACAATCCAATGATGAAATTGAGGTAACTGTAAAGTAACCTTAGGTCACACAGCCCAGAAGAGGTAAAGCTGAGACCTGAATGGGATTTGGCTTCTCACACCCCAGGACAATTCCAGTTGAGGGTCCTAAAGTTTCTTCAAACTCAACTCTTGGGTTGTGCTCATTTTTCCATCACCGTTCTTCCTGACCCTTGAGTAAGAAATCTTGACTATTTCCCCTTCTCTCAACTTCGTTGGTAGCTAGCAGCTTCCCGCTTTTACACTGTCTCCCATTGTTCTTGGTGGCCAAATCCTGAGTGCCAGTCTCCTGGCGGTCTCCAGTCCAAGTCTGCAGGAGACTTTTCTTGCCTCCACCTTGCTAACCTCTGCCCTCTCTCCACTCTTGAATCAGCCACACCCAGCTCGAAGTAAGGGAACTTCATTTGACCAACAACTCCACTGTGTCACAATGCATGGCTGGCCCCAGGGTCTACTGACCTCAACCCTTTTTGTCACCAACTGACTCTTTTACTCCCCCACTTCTAGCCTGAACCTTTCTTTCCAGCCAAAGAGGGTTTAACCTCACAGGAGAGTTTAGTAAAAAGAACGGTTAAAGGAAGAGAGGTTTCTGAAATTTGCAGAGTACTTATTTTTAAAATTGACAGGTTTGACAGCCTCTTGCAAATTCCCCTCCAAGTGAGTAGAGACTGCTTCAGACATCATTTTATCCAGACTGAAATTCCACCACCAGCACAAAACTCACATAATTGAGGCAGTACAACCACTCCTAATTCCCAGGGTGAAAACCCTAATGAACAGAAGCTGAAGGATATGAGCACAATAAAACTGATAAATCCACTAAACAAATAGCAACTACATTTGTGTGGCAAGCACTACTTCACCAGTGCCAAACCTGAGCCCCCAATTTGGCCTTCTAAACAGACACTCATGTAAAAGACCTTAGTCATTTGGCTCTGAGGTATTTCTGGTAGAAAAAGCAATCTACCTTTTTCCCAATTAACATAACCCGGCAACCATTTTGTATTCCAAGTGCTGACAATGGCATCTCCATTTCCTTCAGAGATTTTCCTGAAAAAAGAAGACAGTTATGTCCAATGTAACTTGTACAACAGTGAAAATAGATTTCAGCAAGGGTATAGGAAATAGTGTGTTCACTATTGAGAAGGGAATGAGTTGGTATAACATTTTTAGAAGGTTTCTTGACCCAATAACTTCACTTCAGATACTGATCCTAACAAATAACTGGACATGTGCCTAAACAATAACTGTTACACAATTATTATTATTCATAACAGTGAGAAACTGGAAAGTCAAAAATTCAGGAGTAGGGGACTGATTACTATACATCATAACAGAAGACTTTGTAGCACTAAAGCTCATCTTTCAGGAAACTTCAATGCCACAATATGTGCTGATGACCAAGTGTTACAAGAAGATCACTAGAAATGATCCTAGTTTTGTCGACTACAGAAACAAAAAAAAAGCCACAAATTGAGAACCCACACTTCAAGATGCCAGGACAAACAAAGGCTGGACAGAAATATACTGAATTGTTATCGGGGGTTTTATCCAGGAGAACATTTTCTTTTTTGTGTTTTCCTCTATTTACAAACATGAATTTCTATTGCCTTTATAATTATAAAATGAAATGTTTTTAAAAAGACAAGGAGTTACAATATGAAGTATAAAAGTAAATGCTTCCCATCACTAAATTCTTTATGATTGGCACCAAATGGGATAAATTTAGCTTCATCAGATACAAAATAATGGGTTCCCATGGGAATGAGAAGACCAGAGAATGGGGATGGGAATAGGTGTGTCCTGGCAGAAATCACCATATTCCACTGGGCCTGCTACATCCATGTCCCTTAAATTAGTCTGTTCAGCACCTTCTCTGTGTTCAGCACTAGGCCAAGCACTGAAAACACAGAAGTATCTCTGCCCTCATGGAGTCTGCTATTGTATCAGAGACACCAGATGTTTGGTGACTATGGAAACAATTATTTAATAGTAGTTTCAATACGAGCTATGCAGAAGTGGAGGGAGTGCTACAAGAACATACACTGGGAAGAGGATCTAACTTAGCCAGGGAAGACTGCCCATGTGTCTCATCAAAAATGGTAAGGTTTCTGCCACCCTCACGTGCCTTCAACTCGAATACCTGTGCATGTGTTTGCAAGTGTCCACTACATAGTAGGTACTCAACAAATATTTGTTGAAGGAAAATGACGGAACTAACAAGCAAAGAACTGTCCTAGATTGAAAAACTAACCTTACTCTTAGGTAAGGTTAAATAGTTTTAAATAGGCTCAGAGCTGGAAGAGAAAGGCTTACCCTTAAATATGAGTTTCTGAAAGGGCAGCGGAACCCCTGTAGCCTCTTCAACAACCTGGGCCAGGTCTTGGACAATTGGCTCACTATTGCCTTCTTGTGGGGTAACTTGAAGATCATGCTTCTCATTGCCTGGGGAGAGAGAATAGTGTTGAAGAAAACACAAACCAATAAATAGAGGCTGACACTTCATTTTCCCAGCCTTTAAGACCTGCTCAAGGATTTTTGTTTCCTTGGGAATTGTTACAGGAACTAACAATATCAGTGATATCAGCTAACATTTTATGCATTTAGCATGTGTAAGGGGCTAACTAGGCTTATTTTGGAGAAGGAAATGGCAACCCACTCCAGTATTCTTGCCTGGAGAATCTCAGGGACAGAGGAGCCTGGTGGGCTGCTGTCTAAGGGGTCACACAGAGTAGGACATGACTGAAGGGATTTAGCAGCAGCAGCAGGCTTATTTTATGCATAATCTTAATTAATCCTCAGAACAACCCCATGAAGTACCCATGAAGCCAGTACTACCGATTACTCCCCATTTCACAGATAAGTAAGATATGAGATCAGTCCAGTTAAGACTTGCCTAGTGAGACCCATCTCTACAATCAGAACTTAACCTCAGATCTATCTGATTTCAAATTCTGTGCTTTTCTTTACAAGCCATCTGCCTCCTCTGGCCTGACTGGCCTCTCCTCTGTATTGTACTGGGCGAGGAACTGTTTCTATCTCCTTTGCTATAATGAGCAAGGAACTGCTTTTCTTCCAGGTCTCTCCCACTGGACACATAGGGTTGGTGCCCAGAAAATAAATGAGGGACTTTCCTGGTGGTGTTGTGGATAAGAATCTGCCTGCCAAGGCAGGGGACACAGGTTCAATCCCTGGTCCTGGATGATTCCACATGCTAGGGAGCAACAAAGCCCATGTGTCACAACTACTGATGCCCACATGCCTAGAGCCACCCCAATGAGAAGCCCGCACATCTCAAGGAAGAGTAGCCCCCGCACGCTGCAACTAGAAGAAGTCCAAGCAAAGCAACGAAGACCCAGTGGAGCCAATAAAGAAACAAATGAGTGAAAAAACTCAAACAGCAGAAATTTCTTTTTGGAGCAGAGGTGCCAATTCTTTTCTGGATATGTGGACAGCAAGGGCAGAGCCTGTGTCCAGTGCATCACGCCAAGCCTTAAGCCTACTCAACAGCCACATGAAGTCAGCGGGACAGGTGTTACCAATTCTATTTCGCATAGAAGAAACCAGCTGCCTAGAAAGGAGACATCCCAAGGTCACCGAAACCTGCAGAATCCTGGTCTCCAGATTCTTGAGGCCCTGGGGTCTCCCCTGGTTGGTCCTGAGGAAACTTTATGGACTCAGCTCCCTGGAGAACCGTCATTGTCTAGTTCTGTGTCAACTCCAACAGTAGGCAGACCCCAAGGGCGCCCTGAGTGTACGCTTGAACCCACGCCTCACTCAAACAGCACACGAGTTTTGACTGCTGCACACAAGTAGGTGTCCAGATACACAGCAGTCATAGACAACATGGCCAAATACAAGCCAGGCACAAAGGCCCACCACAACTGTGCAGGCACACACTAAGACATACAACCAGGACCCCGACGTGAAGCACAGACATCAAGGATCTAACAAACGGCCTGAGACAAAATACACCTGCCACGTGGAAAGGTGCGCTGACAGCAGACCAGTAAAAACAAGATCCCACGCTTCTGGACTCCAAATACAAGGACACACACTTCGGGAGGGCACGCGACCAAACCCAGAGACCCCGCCGGACTTTCGTGGCCCAGCGCGGAGCCCAGCCGGCAGCCCGCGCTCACTGTGGGTGACGGTCACGCTGAGCCCGGCTGCCGCCATTTCTTCGCTCCGGGCCACCTCTTCGCTCCGGGCCACCTCTTCGCTCCGGGCCACCTCTTCGCTCCGGGCCACCTCTTCACTCAGGACCACCTCTTCGCTCGGGACCACCTCTTCGCTCGGGACCACCTCTTCGCTCGGGACCACCTCTTCGCTCCGGGCCACCTCTTCGCTCCGGGTCACCTCTTCGCTCCGGGCCGAGCGAGGCCGTGCTTTCTTTTTCACCCGCGGCCTGCGAGCGCAGGCGGCGGCGCCTCTGGTGGATCCGGCATGCCCTCTGGTCACGCTCCGGACGGCTGATTTCTGGGAGGGAGGCGGACCGCGCTCGGCTGGGTGCACCGACTGGCGCGGCTCCCGGCCCGGCCGAGGGGCGCGCCGCCGGGGACCCAGCCGCTCCCGGTCGCCTCGCGGTCTTCGCGCGCCCCCGCGGTCCGCCAGACCCGCGCTTGTTGCCCGCCCAGCGATGGTAGCTGGGCTGGGGCCCTCCACCCCGGTTCGGCTACTTCCCAGCCCCTACCGGCCCCGCCCCTCGGAGCAGCCCCGCTCCAGCCCGGCTCTATTCCTCTGAAGCCGCCCCCTACCCCACCCACTCAGCCGAGGCCCCGCCTGGCTTATCTGGGGCCACGCCCACGCCGCCGCCGGGGCAACGCCCCGTGATGACTCGCGGTCCCTCACCTCCAACTTCCCGGAGCTCCCCTTCCCCGGAAGATCAGGCTGAAAATCCGGATAAAGGATTGGAAAACGCTAATAGGCACATTGCGCTTGCGCATGGAGGGCCGGAAGTCAAGTCGGAGACGGAGGTGACTCTGCTTCCGTTTCTGGTTTTGCTCCAGTGTTTAGGTTTTATCAGCGGCCGCCCAAGATGAACCGATTCTTCGGGAAAGCGAAACCCAAGGCTCCGCCGCCCAGCCTGACTGACTGCATTGGCACGGTGGGCACTTAGACTTGCTGACTAGGCTCAGGAACCCTGACACCCCTTAACCCGTCCACCCCCGACTTCGGCGTCTACTCCTGGCTCCCGGGCCCATTACACCTTAGCTCTCTCCACCACTTTCGTTCCTCTTACCCAAGTCATTGCTGACGCCACAAACCGGGGACCCCTAACCCATCATTGTTTAACCCTACTTGCGCCCCACCCACTCTGGCGCTCGGTGCTGCGTCCACTCGCTGTTAACTGCCCTGGTCACCCCGACCAGCCATAGGCCCTGACACCCTTCCCACCTCATCCATCCCTACCCCTTCCTCCTCTTCCGTGTCTCATCCTTCTCCGACGTCAGGAATCTCGGCTTGATATCCTAGCTCATTATATCCGTAACGCAATCCTGGATCTGTTAGACAAAATTCAGAACTCTAGCTCCTGTCACTAGGCCACCACCTTCTATCCAAGTGAACAGCGTTAGCTCTCCAGCCCTAGCCGGGGTCCATTGGGCAGTAACTCATTTCACACACTTTCTGATTGAGCCCTCTGCTGGCCTAGTCTCCAATTCTTGGGAAACTTCGACTCAGTCGAGTGATTCTCAAATTCTTTTATGGCTCAAACACTTGAGGATGCCCCTAGAATATTGGAATCTAGGGGGGTGGAATACAGTTTAACACCCCCCCCGCAGGATTTCTGAGAATCCCGACCCCCCACAATTAGGAATCGCTGTTTTCAACCTTCACCATATGCTCTTCTTCATTTTTCCTTTCTTCCTCTATATTCTTCCCTCCCCTACCACTTTTCATGTAAATGTATTGCAATAATTACCACTGCCTTTGATGTTTTTCCACTCAAGGTGGACAGCAGAGCAGAATCCATTGACAAGAAGATTTCTCGGCTGGATGCTGAACTAGTGAAGTATAAGGATCAGATCAAGAAGATGAGGGAGGGACCTGCAAAGGTAAGGTAGACAGCCCCTGCAGAACTTGTGACACCTTGATTTGAGTACCTGTGGAAGTAGGGCCTGCTGGTGAGGGATATAGAAGAGATGCCCACAGTCTGGTAAGGGGAAAACATTTGTGACAGGGTGTCCTTCAAGGAGGAGAGTTTGCAGCCTGATATAAGAGGAAAACTGGGGCTTGACCTGGTGGAGAGAAGATGTTGATCACACACACAGAAACATGTATGTGGGAATTAGCATATTCTACCGAGAACGTGGCAATCTGGACAGGCTCGGCCTGCTCAGACTAATGAGTTGCTTGGCTGGTCAGGTTAGGTATATATAATAGACTGGTTAAGGAATGGCATGTTGGGGAAAAGTACTAGTGTTCTATTAATACCATCACTACCTACTAGCTGTGACTTTTATAAAGTCACTTAATTTCTTACTTTCCTCTTCTGTTAGGAAGAAACATAGAGTGGTGTATGTAAGTGTATGGACTGTGAATTTGAGGTGCTTTTCCCCCCCCACCCCATCTCTGTAACTTATTAGGCATTTAAGTGAGAGCAAGTTACTTAGCATCTGAACTTAGCAAACTGAACCTCAGTTTTCCAATCTGTAAAATGGGGATATTATCTACTTTATAGCATGAGATTAAACAAGGTAATTCATGTGACTTACATAGTACTATGTCTAGTACATAGAAACAGTCAGTAAGTGTTAGGTATTATTATCATCTGTGAAGTAATAATACCTGCTTTTCCGTCTTCACTGGAAGAGACAAAGTGATTTATGAAACAGTATAGAAAACGAAGTGACCAGAGGATTTTCTCTGCCATCGTAGTTGGATGGCATGGAGTGAAGAGTGACCAGAGGCAGGACAGCCTACCTAGACTTGAGGAGATGAAAGCCTAAACCATGGTGGTAGTCATGAGAATGACATGAGAGGAATCAATTTGAAAGTGAGTTCTGAAAATCTAACATGATGACAATGCATGAGGAGACAACAGAGAGAGGAAAGGTAAGGTTGGTGTAACAGTTTTCAGCCTAGAGAAGTGAGAGACTGGTGGGGCTGTTGTTAGTCATTTCCAAGGTGATAGCAGGTTTAAGAGTTTGGGCATGGTGACTTTGAGTGGAGAGCAGACTGTCCAAATGTGGAATCTCTCTAAGGCACCTGCATATACAAAATTGGCCCTCTTGGAGTAGAAATAATATCCCCTAGAAAAGGAAATGTACTGAGATGTGGGACGAAAAGACTGAGGCGGGCTGGAGCTTAGAGCCCACTTGGGAAGTGAACAGTCTGGGAGCCACCATGTCTAGTGCTTTGAAGATGAGAGGAAGTAGGTATGTGAGTTTGAGGATATGGGATTCATTTACCATTTGTATATTTTCTACTTCCTTTCATTAAAATCTACTTTTCTTCCTAGAATATGGTCAAGCAGAAAGCCTTGCGGGTGTTAAAGCAAAAGCGGATGTAAGTTATATAAGTATAATCTCCTTTCCTCTAACAGGTTTAACCAAAAGGGAAATGGTCTTCTATTCCTTTAGATTTTCTTACCATTTTATAAGGGCTTCCCAAGCGGCATGGTAGTAAAGGACCCACCTGCCAGAGAGGTAGACGTAAGAGATGGGGGTTTGATCCCTGGGTCGGGAAGATCCCCTGGAGGAGGGCACAGCAACTCACTGCAGTATCCTTGTCTGGAGAATCCCAGGTACAGAGGAGCCTGGCAGGCTACAGTCCATAAGGTTGCAAGGAGTCGGACACAGCTGAAGCGACTTAGCAGGCATGAACTACTTTATAAGCATTCTTCAGTTAATTGCAAATTTCATTTACACATACAGTTAACTAGAATTTCTCCCCTTGCATGTTCAGCAACATCTGTTGCACCACTGTCCATTTAAATAGAGCTTTTTGCTGTGATGGGAGATGTTTTCTGTCTGTGCTCGTCAGTACAATAGCTGTTAGCCACGTGTGCCTATTGAGGACTTGAAACATGGCTAGTATGACTAAGGAACTCAAGGTCCAATTTTATTTAATTTTAACAATTTAAGTAGCCATGTATGTCTAGTGGCTTCTGTATAGACTTCCCAGATCTGTAGAGTTTGATTCTCCCATTTATTTAATTAGAGTGTGCCTTTAAAAATTTCATTTGTTTGCCTGTAAAATTAGGAAACTTGAATATTTGTTCCCTCCCATCAGAAGATTTAGCAGCCCTTAATTTGTTTTAGGAGAAGGCAATGGCACCCCTCTCCAATACTCTTACCTGGAAAATCCCATGGATGGAGGAGCCTGGTAGGCTGCAGTCCACGGGGTCGCTACGAGTTGGACATGACTGAGCAACTTCACTTTCCCTTTTCATTTTCATGCATTGGAGAAGGCAATGGCAACCCACTGCAGTATTCTTGCCTGGGGAGTCCCAGGGAGGGATGGAGGAGCTTGGTGGGCTGCCGTCTATGGGGTCGCACAGAGTCGGACACGACTGAAGCGACTTAGCAGCAGCAGCAGCAGCAATTTGTTTTAAGTGACTGTGTCCCAGTGTTTGACGGAAACCCAACATTATCTTTGGTTCTTAACCTTGTGGGCTCTCCAGCTGATGAGACCCTCTTGAGGAGTGCAGGGGTCAGGTGGGATCAGCTGATAAAGAGCAGAAAGATTATTGGTATCTCTATTCTTGTTTACAAAATGACTTCTTATAAAGCATCAGGTACCATCTTACTCCTTTCAGATTAGACAGAGTTATAAAAAGAAAACTATGATGCCTAGAGCAATGAGAGTGTGTAATAAAACTGTTACCTCCTAAATTGATAGCATTGCAATTTTTTTATTAAAAAAATTTTATTAAAAAAATTTATTTATTTTTGGCTGCACCAAAAATAAATAATAAAACAAGCACCAAAAAGGTCTTTGTAACTTTGCTTGGGCTTTCTCTAGTTGCGGAGAGTGGGGGCTACTTTTCCATGCATCGCGTGAGCCTCTCATTGCAGTGGCTTCTCTTGTTACGGAGCACAGGCTCTAGGCATGAAGACTCAGTAGTTTCAGCTCACAGGTTCTAGAGCAATGGCTCAGCACTTGTGGTGCTTGGGCTTAGTTGCTCCACAACATGTGGGATCTTCCCGGACCAGAGTTTGAACCCATGTCCCCTGCATTGGCAGGTAGATTCTTATCCACTGGGCCACCAGGGAAGTCCAGCATTGCAATTTTTAAGTAGCTTTTTTTTTTTTAATAAAAGAATACATGTTCATTGTGGAAACTTGGCAAGTACATAAACATGAATAGAAGAGAAAATTCACCAAGAGTCCTATTGCCAGAAATAACCACCTTTAAAATGCTAATTTCTTATAGTTTCTTTCTCTGCTTGTGCATACATGGTACATGTGCATATAATCTTTTAGAAGGAAACAAATGGCATGTATTATATCAGTTATCCTTTTCTACTTAATGTTGTATCACAAGTATTTCTGTCCTTCTAAATAGTTTTTGGAAACATTTTTTTAATGGTGTGATAATATTCCACCACCATTTGCCTGCATCATTGACCATTTTTCTTCTGGTTGAATGGTTACATGGTTTTCAAATACTGTATAAAGACTATAGTGATATAAGTCTTTGAGACATATAAGACTTTGATATAAGACTTTTATATAAAGCTTCATTAAAAAAAATAGTTGGAGTGCCAGGCAGTATATTAGGTTGGATAGATTACCTATTTATGGATACAAGATTAATAAAATAACAATACCAGTGCTCAAGCAGTTCAGTGTACTGGAAAAAGTTTCACTGTATGTACGAAGAACCTTAAATATAGTCTTGCTCCTTCCCCCTAAGAATTCCACTTCTGAGAATTTAGCATTGAAAATAATTTAAAACATAAAAACTTATATTAAGACTTCTTAGCAATGTAGAAAACAGCAGTAATAATGTTAAGTGGAAAACAGTGTTATAGTTAAAGTACATTCCAAGGAAGAAGATTGGAGGAACATCAAATGATGTTTGTGTAAGATGGATTAAATTGTTTTTCGCATTTTTTATGTACATTTGTTAAGGTTTGTTGTTTAAGAAGATTCTCTTATCTAGCATTAAAGACACTTTCTTCCTGAAGAGTTTTTTTTTTTTTTTGGAAAAAAATAATTTATTTGCATTGCTTCCATTTTTTATTCCTGAAGAGTTCTATCTGCCTCACATTACTGTTTTCATTTGACTCTGAAAAGGTACGAGCAGCAGCGGGACAATCTCGCCCAGCAGTCATTTAATATGGAACAAGCCAACTACACCATCCAGTCATTGAAGGACACCAAGACCACGGTACTCCCAAAGCACTTTGTCCCATGGTTTCATTTTATTTTTGTGCTCCTGTGCTCTTTTTCCTATAGTTTTTAAAAGACAGTTTAACCATCATGGCTTCTTAAGAGATGGTATGTTCTCTTTCCTTTTTTTAGGTTGATGCTATGAAATTGGGAGTAAAGGAAATGAAGAAAGCATACAAGCAAGTGAAAATTGACCAGATTGAGGTGAGATGTGTGCTGATTTCTGTGAGAATGCACACTGGTTTCTCAAAGCGTCCACATGAAAATGTATGTGATGGGAAGAGCCCAGGAGAGGGATGGAATCTTGGGCCTCCCGTTTACTAATGGAGTAACTTTGGGAAAGAGCGTCAAAGGTCCTCACTGTTAACCTAAGGATCCTAATACCACATGCAGTTATTATGCTGCTGCTGCTGCTAGGTTGCTTCAGCCGTGTCCGACTCTGTGCGACCCCGTAGACGGCAGTCCACCAGGCTCCTCCGTCCCTGGGATTCTCCAGGCAAGAATACTGGAGTGGGTTGCCATTCCCTTCTCCAACATATGCATGCGTGCTAAGTCGCTTCAGTCGTGTCTGACTCTATGCAGCCCTGTGGACAGCAGCCCACCAGGCTCCTCTGTCCACAGGATTCTCTAGTTATTATGATGGTGAAATAAATGAGCTGGTGTATCTAAATGCACAATGCCTGGCACATAATAAACACCCAGTGAATAAACGCCCAGTTTCCTTTTACTACTAACTCATTTAATGATTTTTAGTCATGTTGCGTCAATTGTAAAGTAGTGATGTTGCTGCTCATCTCCCAGAATTGTCCCCAATTAACATTTTGGACAATATATATAAAGTACCTAGCATGGTTCCTGGTATAGAATTGGTTCCCTTTTCTAGTAATTCTCTCTAGATTCCCTGCCCACCCCCACCCCCAGTTTTATTGAGATACACTTGATATATAATAGAGTGTAAGTTGAAGGTGTACAGTGGAGTGATTTGAAATATATAGTGAAATGGTTATCACTGTAAGATTACCTCACATAATTACTGTTACTTTTTGTGGTGAGAATATTTGAGGTTTACTTTCCTAGCAACTTTCAAGTATTGTTAAATATAGCCACCACACTGTACTTTAGATCCCCTGAACTTAGTCATCTTTTTTTTAAGGTTATATTTCATTTATAGTTATTATAAAATATTGACCGTGTTCCCTGTGTTGTGCAATATATCCTTATAGCTTATTTATTTTATACATAGTAGTTTGTGCCTCTTGATCACCTCCCCCTATCTCTTTAGGTTTTTAATAATAATGTCCCTAAAATGAGCATTTCTTTTTTGAGATCATGTTTTAGCTGGGGTGGTGAGCCAGAGGAGCTCTTAACTCTGTCAGTTGAGTAGCCCAGATGGCAGACAGGATTAGCAGAGGGAATGGTGATGGTCAGAGGAGAAGGCTTCTCTGCACTTATGATAGTGGTCTTTCCCCCTAAACACTAAGTAGAATGTCTCTTTCTAAGAGGGCAGGGACTCAGTTTTATTCACTATTCCCAAGTGTATTCCCAAGTGCCGCAAACAGTTCCTGGCCTTCGGTTTGTTTAGTGGTTGGTGAACAAATGAAGGAGAGGCTCTTCAGCACCGTAAAGCGGGTCTGCCCCATTTAGCGATGTTCCTAGTGTGTCTCGAGCATCTTACTGCTTCTGCACGGTGCTCCCTGATGGTTCCGGTCTTCAGTAAGTGAAGGCGTTCCTCTCATCTTGCTGTTTTCCAGCACCCCTCCTTATACTGCTGGGACCCTCTCTAGTCTTCCACCAGTTTCTGCTTCCAAGAATTTAGGCTTAGTGATAGAGATTCACTGAGAAAAATGTTCTGAGTATGCTTGCCTTATTTGTATCATATTATTTGATAATCAAACACAATGAACTGAATTTTATTTTCTACTTCCAGGGTTCCTTGTGTTTTAATTAGTGCTGTTTAACGAACAAAATAGAAATTTTGGTATTTCTGGTTTTCTGTATGCTTCGTTTTTCACTTGTGGTTGTCTGGCTGTCTCCCCACCTGATTTTCCTTCTCCTGTCCCCTAATACAGGTCCCCAACCTTTTTGGCACCAGGGACCAGTTTTGTGGAAGACAGTTTTTCCACAGACTGGGGGGTGGGCAGTGGTTTCAGGATGATACAAGCACATTACATTTATTGTGCATTTTATATCTATTATTATTACATTGTGATCTATGATGAAATAATTATATAGCTCACCATAATGCGGAATCCATGGGAGCCCTGAGCTTGTTTCCGTGCAACTAGACGGTCCCATCTGGGGGTTTTGATATGAGTCTGCAAGCAATTGATTTATTATGGTCTTTGTGCAGTCAAACTTCTCTGCTAATGATACTCTCTATTTGAAGCCACTTGCCAGCACTAGCATCCCCACCTTAGCTCTACCTCAGATCATCAGGCATTAGATTCTCATAAGGAGCGTGCAACCTAGATCCCTTGCATGCATGGTTCACAGTAGGGTTCATGCTCCTATGAGAATCTAATGCTGCTGCCACTGATCTGACAGGAGGTGGAGCTCAGGCAATATAGTGAGTGATGGGGAACAACTAAAAATACAGGTGAAACATCGCTTACTCACAGCTCTCCTACTGTGAGGCCCAGTTCCTAACAGACCGTGGACCAGTACTGGCCTGTAGCCTGGGGGTTGGGGACCCCTGCCCTAATAGGCTTGCTTGCATAATAGGTGGAGAGCCCCTTTCTTAACTTTTTTGATGTGTATGGGTGTGTGTCTCTGACTGGGCTGGATAGTTTGAATCCCATTTGTTTTCCTAAAATATTTTACTTGAAAAGCATTTTTATTGTTTTCTAGTGTTCATTTTAAAACTTTGCCTCTACATGTGTGTTCTCCTATTTCTTTTTGTATTTCCCAATTTCTGTGGTCCAGTCTAGTGCTTGTATTTGTTTTGTATTCCTTTTGTTTTTGCAGAATTGAACCTGCTAATTCTTTGTGATGATTTTTTTCCTGTGCCTATCCTGGAGTCTATTGCTAGAAATCCTATTCTTTCTAATAGGATTATGAGATCCTATTAGATATAAAAAAATTTCAGATCACTCTGAAATTTTGGGTGACTTATCTTGATATGTAAAAGTCCAAAATGAGTTCAGCTTGATTAGTTATGTTATTTTCACCCTCTTAATTATTGTTTCAGCCAGTGCTTCTCTGCGTAGCAGACTGTTAAAGTATATGCAATGTGGTAGTTTGGTACTTGGAAACAGAAAGCATTTTCTTTTTAAAAAATATTTTTCTCCATTTTATTTTCTATCCCTTATGTGGAAAAACAAACCTCTAATTTGTGGGTGAGGAAGGAGTTTTTAAACGTTTTGCATTGCTCTAAAAATTCTGAAGAATAAGCAGTGTTGATTTAGAACGTCTGCATTATCAGCAGGAGTCCATTCCCCTCTGTGTGGAATTTTCAGCATATGAAAAACAAATTATTCTGTACATCCTTAACATAAGAAACAATATATAGTATTAAGTGTTTAGTGTTTGACACATATTATGACATATGTTATTACAATAAATCATTACCTATGAAGAATGGCTATTAATAATCTCATTTTATAGATGAGCAAATTAAGCCTAAGAGACATTACTTTTCATTGAATATGAAATAAAACTTTTGAATACTGAATAAAACTTTAGCTTGGTAATGTTTAACCACAGTCTGCTCTTCTTATCATTATACTAACTGCCCTTTATTACGCTATACCACTTCTCAAATGGGTTTTACATTCTTTGTGGCCCTTTAGTAGTTTCCTAGTAAAGTACAGATAGATTATTCCCAGATGATATATGCCGTCGGGCAATTTTTGTTCACCTGCCTTGTCTCAGATATCAAGCCTATGCTGAATCCACTTCTATTTCGCCATGGAGGGTGGGCCCAGTACAACTTTTTGTACCATCCAGTTGTTTCTGCTACTGCTTCCTTACCCTCCACAGTGCAGTCAGTTTTTGGCTGAGTTGAGAAGCGTAATGTCTCAGTTACTTTCTTTTCTCTTAACTTGAAGATTTTTGATAGTGTAAATGTTGCTTGATTTCCTGTTTCAAACAAACGGTCTGTAAAGAGAGAGATGGGCATCTCTTGCAATAGCACTTTGATTTTCCACGAAGCATCTTAAATTCAAATGCAAGATTACTGATTCTGTTCTTTATTTTTCAAGTTTACATTTTTACCACCAAAAATAGGGGAAGATTATGTGGTCCATGGCTTTTTTCTAAGATTTAGGGGAGAGAATAGAGACAGGGGGTAGTTAGGGATAAATGGTAAGAATTGAATAAAAATCCTGTCATATATATTTTTGTAGGATCTACAAGACCAGCTAGAGGATATGATGGAAGATGCAAATGAAATCCAAGAAGCACTGAGTCGTAGTTATGGCACCCCAGAATTAGATGAAGATGACCTCGAAGCAGGTAAGTTATAGGAAAAGCAATGTATATGTAGCCTAGCGTCTGAAAGGAACAACTGTCAGGGATCTTTTCTCCCAAGCATTAGAGAAGATTTCTATGAGGGTTCCCTGAAAGTTCACCTGTGGTACAGGCTCTGGGCACAGGGCTTGGGCAGCAGCCACATCAGACCGGCATACCTCACCAACTCTGAGGTGGACAAGCTCTGAAGGAACATCCAGGCAAAGGCCTCTGTTGACTCGGTGCTTGGTAACCAAACACTGTCATTTCCTGCCATTTTTTTTTTTCTGTTCATTTTCCTGCTTGAGTCCTCTTCCTCAGAACAGTAAAGCCAATCAAGAAACAGTAGTTGGCATATACTGATACTTAGTGGGCATCAGTTACTGTATGCCAGGCCCGGTGTTAGATGCTGGGGATTCAGCACTGAAGAAAACCAACACCATCCCTGCACTCCTGGACCTTCTCCTCTAGCAGGGGTAAGAAACTGCATGAGTTAAAGAGCACAGACTGATGGGAAGAAGTAGTATGGGGTACCATAGGAACATAGAGGAATCCAACCTAATTGGGAGTCACGGACAGGCATAGGACCCGAAGGATTAGCAGAGGTTAGCAAGATGAAATGGAAGGGGGTGTTAAGAAGCGGCCTCATGGAGAGTTGTTTAGAAACTGTTGCTGTAGTCCATTTAAGACATGATGGTGCCTGAGACTAAGGCGGTGGCAGCAAAGATAGGGAGAAGTGGACATACTGAAGAAATTTTAGAAGGTTGAATGGACAGGACCTAATGATTGATTAGATGTGGAGAGAGAGGGAGATGTCAAAGATGTTTGTCAGTTTCTAGCATGAGTAACTGGGTTTTCTGTTGGATGATGGCCCTGTCCCATTACTACTACTTTGTCTCCATGTTCTTGTTTTGACTATAACCTCCCCTTCTCTCCCCCCTACCCTGTTTATTTCTGCTTTCTTATTTCTCATCTTGAGTTTCCTCTGATGAGTTTATACCTGCTGTTGGCTATTCCCCCTGCTCACTTCCAACTTTGCCATAGATTTACTTTTAAAGCCTGATCTCATGTCATGGTCACTGACATGAAGGTCTCATGACTGAAGGTCTCATGCCTTCTCTCACTGGCTGTTTTCAAGTTCATCAGTAAATGGAAAAGAATTTTTTACATTTGTTATTGTCAGGATTTTCTAATTTGAATTGGCCTACTAATAACTATACAGTCTTCTCATGAATACTAGGGCCTTATAAACCTGTGGGAAATAGTTGTTTTGTTTTATTTTAATTTTTTTTCATGGACTTTTACCACCCCAGTTTCCTTGAAAATTCCTTATAATAGCCATCTTTTATTTTGAAAATTGAAATTAACAATCCCTTCTCTGTTTTTAAATTTTCATCTTATTGCAAATAATTTAGCTGACTTTCTTAACATTAACTGCCAACTTTCTTTTTCTTAAATTATTTATTTATTTGTTTTAATTAAAGGAAATTTTTTTTGGCTGCACTGGGTCTTAGTTGCAGTGCACAGGCTCTTCGTTGCTGAGTGCGGGCTTTCTCATTGTAGTGAACAGGAGCTACTCTGGTTGTGGTGCATGGGCTTCTCATTGTGGTAGCTTCTCATTGCCGGCCACGTGGGCTCAGTAGTTGTGGCACATTGGCTTAGTTGCCCTGCGGCGTGTGGAATCTTAGTTCCGAGACCAGGGATCAAACCCATGGCTTCTGCATTGGCAGACAGATTCTTAACCACTGGGCCACCAGGGAAGTCATCCCTAGCCTCCAATTTTTTTGCTTACATTTTTTTAAAATGTTGACTGTTTCAACTTAGAGTTGGATGCACTGGGCGATGAGCTTCTGGCCGATGAAGACAGTTCTTATCTGGATGAAGCAGCAGCTGCACCTGCAATTCCAGAAGGTGTTCCCACTGACACGAAGAATAAGGTGAAAGCTTTTTCTGTTCATATTTTCTGTGCAAAATGGTAAAGACTTTATGCTTGATCATCAGCCTGGGCATCTAAAAGGTATTAAGCAAGAACAAGGAAAGACTGTCACTATTTTGGGAACCCTTTGAAGCCCAGTTTCCCTACACTGGACTGTGGTTGGTCTTCCCCACTTTACCCCCCATTCCTCCTTGCGCTTGGAGTTGCCTTAATCTTTTTCTACTGCCCATGGTGTCCGCACCACTCTGAGCCAGCTGCATAGGTTGTTTTTTCTCAGCATTCCTGAAATAGTTTTTATTAACACTACCATAGCTCATCTTTTTAAACCCCTGGTAACAGGTTCCTGAAGCATGTATATTATTTCCATGTTTAGAAGATCACAGATTCCTGATTTAAATGCACTCTTGAGCTATGGTTTCTGAATTGATAGTCACTGCCTGTGGGTGCATGCTTAGTCGCTCAGTCACGTTTGACTCTTTGCGACCCCATGGACTATGGCCCACCAGGCTCCTCTGTCCATGGGATTCTCCAGGCAAGAATACTGGAGTGGGTTGCCATGCCCTTCTCCAGGGGATCTTCCTGACCCCGGGGTCAAACCTGGGTCTCCTGCACTGCAGGCCGATTCTGTCTGAACCACCAGGACGCCCAGTCACTGCCTAGAAGCCTGTAGTAAAGTATGAGACAGCAGTGACTCCTGCCCTGGGCACCACTCCTTCGAGGGTTGGTGAGGCTGCAAGAGGTACTGTTCCACTTTAGGGACCAGAGTGAAAGTGGGAGTCTGGAGGCAAGTGCTCACTCCGCAGCCTTTACTGTGGCCACTCCTCAAGTCCTGGACACTCGCAGCCCCCTCTCCCCTTTCAAGGTTTACTCTCTCACTCTTCCCTTACTCTGCTGCAGAGTCATCCCTTTTGATCCCTTCCATTTCTTTTTCTGGTTTATCACTTGCCACTTTACCTCTCTTGAAAAAAAGCTTGTTTTCATCTTCTCAGTGAGATTTTTATTTTCATTGATTAACTACTTGGAAATGAATTTTGACCACTAAATGTTTGAAATCAGTTTTTTTTAAGTCAGTTGGAAAATAGTGACACTGAACAACTCTTTCTTTTCACAGGATGGAGTCCTGGTGGATGAATTTGGATTGCCACAGATCCCTGCTTCGTAGACTTGCATCATTCAAGTACATCGTGTGAAATAAACGTGTATTCTGGGAATGGGGAATATTTATCTTTCCAAGTTTGCCATAACAGATTTAGGTTTCTTTCCTTTCCTTGGAGGAAAAATTAATTTTTTTCCCCCCGATAAGAGACTCATTGCTTGGAGGAGGCTTTCTTTATACTAAATTTTTATTCCTTTTCTCCTATGAAAGACTAACTTACTTAAAACTATCATTGGGTATGTTCGTCCGTCTTAATTCCTTAATAATAATTTTGAAATAAAACCAAGGAAATGGAAATCTTTTAAGTTCTGTGACAGCATATCTCCACAATCTCAAACTGACCTGATAAATTGATGGAAAAGCTGAGATTGGTGGGACTGTGCATATTATGATTTAAAACCATTTTCTCTTGTGGTGACATAGGTTGGTTAAAGTGATGGCCTTTTTGGGTGAGTTTTGTTGTGTCTTGTGAGTAAATCATTACTGTGTCCAGTATTGGAATGGAATTATCACTACTGTATCATGGGTGGATATTTTGATTCTGTGGTTCCTTCAGTATTACAGCCGACTTGTAATCAGTAATGAATATTTCTTGATATTTAATGTATAGGACATTTATTTATACTCAATAAATATTTTTCAAAAGGATATTATTTTAATAATACCTCAGCTTGAAATCTCCACTACAGAAACCAAATTTAATATAATTTTAATGTCAGTTCAGCTTAAAAACTACAGAAATCAAATTTAACAGGCAGCATTATGGTGCTGTGGTTGATCCCCAGCCTTTTTGACCCCAGGGGTTGGTTTGGTGGAAGACAGTTTTCCCATGGGGGCTGGGGTGCTGGGGTGGGGTAGTTTCAGGATGATTCAAGCGCAGTACGTTCATTGTGCATGTGTACTCAGTCATGTCTGACTCTTTGCAACCCCATAAACTGCAGCCCAACGGGCTCCTCTGTCTATGGAATTTTCCAGGCAAATACTGGGATGGGTTGCCATTTCCTACTCCAGGGGATCTTCCACACCCAGGATTTGAACCAGAGTCTCTTGCATCTCCAGCATTGGCAGGTGGATTCTTTACCACTACATAACTATTTATTGTGCACTTTATTTTTATTATTAATACAGCAACTCCACTTCAGATCATCAAGCGTTGGATCCCAGAGGTTGAGGACCCCTGGTGTAGAGGAAAGAGCAAGGAGCAATCCAGGCTTGGGCCCTGGGTATGCATCTAATAACTACTAAGTAGCCTCCTCACACCTCTCAACTTCTGTTTCCTTGCTAGTAAATCATGCTTACCTCCTGAGGCTTTTGTGAGCAATAATTGAGGTAATTTTCTTGAGTACTTTGTTAACTGCCAAAGGTATTACTAACAGTTAGCATGAGGAATTATTAATAATAGATTAATAGTTATTAACATTAAAAAACAGGGGTTGGGAGTTCCCTGCTAGTCCAGTGGTTAGCACTCAGAACTTTCACTATGATAGCCCTTGATACAGTCCCTGGTCAGGGAACTAAGATCCTGTGCAGCCAAAAATAAAAACCAAAAAAGGGGCTTTATTCCTTTCTTGGGAGGTGCCTGGTGGTGCTGCAGCAAATCCAAATTCCTGCCAGATTTCAGGGTCTTAAATGACCCATCCTCCCTTCTTGCCAGCCTCGCTGGGGGCCTCACAAAGTCACTTGCACCAGCCTTTCGTGTGTCAGCAAATCAATAAACATTTCTTGAACACCAGCTCCGCAGAGTATACCAACCCAAGGGATACCAAGAACAGTCACAGCTCCTTTCCCACGACTTCACTGTCTAAGTTATAGGTGAGAATGGAACACAGATGTAACCCTTTCCCACCCCCACCAACCTCACACTTGCAGAAGCCTTCCAGTGGCACAAACACTACACTATTCATCATTACCTTCTTGAAACCTTCCTTGGCTTCCTGACAAGTTCTCACTCAGCCCTTTAAATATTTCTTCCATTGTCATTCCTGTCTTGGACTTCTTAGTCTTCATAGTTTCCCTGAGATACCTCACGCCCATGATTTTAACTATTATCTATGAACTAATGACTCAAAATAATTCACTAACTTAGACCCCTTTCCTTATTCTTATTTTCAGTTCTGGGTATTCCTAATTAAATGTCCTACCACTACCTAGAACCTAACATCCAAGTTAAGCTCATCACCTTGAGCTTCATACTCAGTCAGCATTCCTGCTGTATTTCATATCTTGCCACTGTTAAATATATGGGTCATATCTCTGACCCATATATTGCCAGTTTTAATGAGTGATATTTAGTCCTCCAGCTAGACTTATTTAGTACATTGGATACCAGTGAACAATCATTCTATCAAAATCACGCTTCCCTTGGCTTTTGTGATGGTACTCTCTGGTTCTTCTGTTCTGACTATTCCACTATTTCTTCCAAGACTCCTGTCTGAAATCCTCATCTCTCCAGCCCCGTAATGTTAGTCTTCCTCAGGAGTCTAGCCTTTATCAACCATATTTCTTTGTCTGCTTACTTATGTTTAATAATCTCAACTATTCTCATGGCTTTAACTGTGGACTTAGAAGGCTATACAAGTCTATACTTATATCCCTGGTCTTGCCCCGGAGTTTCAGAATCCTGTTTATATCCAGCTATCGCCTGATAGTTATTTGGATGTCCTAGAAGCCCACAGGCACTTTACATTCAGGTGGCCAAGAAACCCACTGTCTCTCCCCCCAGAGCTGACTCTCCTGTTTTGTGTGCCTCAGCTAACGGAGCTGTTATCCTCCGTCATTCAAAACAGAAAGCTCTTGAGCTGTCCTTGATGTCTACATTTTGCCTCATCCTACATATTCAATTATAATTATTAAACCCTGCTTCTAACTCCTTAATGTGTCTCAAATCCAGCCCCTCCGTTCCTCTCGCAGCTGTCTTTGGCTTGGACACCCCTCACGTAGCCTCTCCAGATACATGACCTGCTTTCTCCTCTTGCATAATTTCACTTCCTTGAGTCCATTCATCACACACAGCTGTACTGATCTTTCTAAAATACAGATCTGACCATGTCATTCTCTTACTTAAAGTCATGGTTCCTGATACCTCCAACAAGACGTAGAAAGCTGCCTATGAGTTGGCCCCCGTCTCTCTGTAATGGTTTATTGCGTAGTCTCTTCAGAACAGGATTCTCTTTCATATAGAGCAGCAGTCCCCAACATTTTTGGCACCAGAAACCAGTTTCATGGAAGACATTTTTTTTCCCCATGGGGTGGGGGGGATGATTCAAGTCCACTACATTTATTGTTCACTTTATTCCTATTACATCAGCTCCACCTCAGATAATCAGGCGTTACATCCCAAAGGTTGGGGACCCCTGATTTAGAGAACTGCCTCCCTGATTACAAATGAGTGATTATTGTGAAAATACCAATTAGAGTAGCCCTACTTTTATTTCTCTCTTATGGGAGTGGGCTTGTAACCAGGCTGTGCCTATTGAAGTTCATCTCCCCAATTTTATAAATGGAAACTAGGGGAAATGCTTCCCTTTAAATATATCTATATCTACCTACCTACCTACTATCTATATATCAGTCTGATAAGTTTGAGATATTGAATCTAGAGAGTAGCCAAGAGGCAGAATGAGAATCCTCATGCAACTGAGCCCTGACTTCTGATCCTTGAGATTCTCAGATGGCTCCAAGTCTCTGCAGCTCTTCCTTTAGTTCTGTGAGCTGAGAATTCTGCCAACAAACCCCCTTTTCTGTTTAAACTGATTGGACATGGGTTCCTGTCACTTGCTAGTAAGAGTCCTGAAAATTTTCTCTGTAGCATTTGCTTGTTATGCACTTAATAACTGTTTATAGTTCCCCTGCCTCTGCCATACAGTCACGATTCCCTGCCTCTGCTCATATAGCTTCCCCTCCCTGGAGCTGGACGTGAGCAATGGGCTCATGTACCCTTGGCACAGAAAGTCAAACTGATAGCAGGTATTGGCAGCAAAATCAGGGTTTGTTGCAGGGCCAAGCAAGGGAGTGGGATACAAGCCTCAGATCCACTCCAGCTTGATCTTTGAGTTCCTTTTTAAAGGAGAAGAACAAAGAAGCTGGGGTTAGTCATCATTTTGTGACTTTTTTGGGCTGTGCTGCACAGCATGTGGGATCTAGGAAGCATGATCTTAAGCACTGGACCACCAGGGAAGTCCCTTGTGACAGGTCTTAACTGTAGTTTCAAAAGTCAGGACACCTATGGTTTATGAGTCTCTGGTCTGGTGGTCCATGGCCTGGGGGGGTGGGGGCGGTGGGGTCTATTAGCTCATCTTGCCCTAGAAAAACAACCTGAGTCTGTATGTTTATGATGTTGTCGACAACATCAATTTTAGTCATCTGACTCTGGTTGAATAGTGTTCAGTTAGTACGGGATTCAGGTCAGAGGGAACAATGCAGAAACAAGGTTTTGGATAGAGAGGTTAATCATAAACTGTGTAGGGGAACTGGACTCAGTCTCAGAGGTTCCTTAACACCTTTGACATTCTGCTAATTCTTGCAATGCTGGAAAAGACCAAAAGCGAGGCTCTGGTCTTTGTCAATCCCAGTGAATTTATCGAAGTGGAGAGGATAAGTGCTGTGGTAAAGGGCCCTCTGGTGGTCACTGCTGTAGTTCCCACCAATTAGCATCGCTGTCAGTATCTTACCTATTAACCATTACAAGCAGAATTGAGGGCAGATGGTCTCCTTACATTGTAATCTAGCAGCTCTGGGAGTTTAACAACGGTGGAGGAGATTGGAAGATCCAATAGACAGAAGTTTGGCACTTCTATCTTTATTATCCTTATCCCTTAGTTTTCCTTTTACACATTCTCGTATCACCTAAGGCAGGCTTCCATAGTGGCTCAGTGGTAAAGAGCCCGCTTGGCAAGCAGGAGACTCGGGTTTAGTCCCTGGGGTTGGGAAGATCCCCTGGAGAAGGAAATGGCAACCCGCTCCAGTATTCTTGCCTGGAGAATTCCATGGACAGAGGAGCCTGGCAG